TAAAGCAAGAGAAACGCGATGAAAAAAGATTAAATAAAGAGCGTAAACTGGAACAGCGAAGATTGGAATTAGAAATGGCAAAGGAGCTAAAGAAGCCTAATGAAGATATGTGCTTAGCAGACCAGAAGGTAATCATAATACTGTAAACTTACGTTCTTGCCTCTTGTTTCTGTATTTTGCCATTGTGATAATAACTTTTTTCTTGCAGCCACTCCCAAAGCATTCAAGTTTTTAGATAACTATTTGAAACAGATACAAATACAAGATACTACAAACACTAAAGTAGCATATGTTTAGTTAATTAAAAGCCTTTTCTTTAAAAGTGGCCTGCTTTCCAAAAAAGCACTCGCATGATTGCTTAAAAAAAAAATAAAAAAAAATCAATTACTCTGAGTTACAGCAGGAAAAAAGCATCATGTCTCAGTACACAGGCACTAGATAGAGCTTTTGTCATATGTGCAACTATTCTAAGCTGTTACTGAAAAAAATTATTCTCCCAGTCTTCTGTGTCTTAGTTCTTCTCCTTCAGGAGTTGACATAACTCAGGTTCAAACCCTCTCTGTTCCAGAGAATTCCCCTCTCTATGTCCTGCAAATATTTTTACACAACCCTTTATAGTATTTTGGCTCAGAATAGAGCCTGAGAGCGTCTCCTGGCTAAAAAGTAAGTATTTATTAATCTCTTGCCTCCTGTAATGTGTGAAAGGGTAAACGTGCTTCAGCTTTACATTAAATTTACTGGATGGGATGTGGGAAGGCAGCTTCTCCATAGCCTTTACCTTTTAGCATTGTCATGCTGTAGGTCATACGGAAGTATCAGCCAATTTCCCTAACTAGTATCAAAAAAGTTTTCTTTTGAAATATACTACTGAATCTTTCATTGTTTTTATTTACTTTTCAGCCTTTGCCAGAGTTGCCTCGCATCCCAGGCCTTGTTCTCGATGGAAGCACGTTTTCAGATTGTCTCATGGTAGTGCAGTTCCTGCGTAACTTTGGTAAAGTTCTTGGCTTCGATGTGAATGTGGATGTCCCTTCCCTGAGCGTTCTTCAGGAGGGTTTGCTAAACATAGGGGACAGCATGGGAGAAGTACAAGACTTGCTTGTAAAGCTTGTCTCTGCAGCTGTTTGTGATCCAGGACTTGTTACAGGATACAAGGTAAAAAAAAAAAAGAAAAAAAAGAGGGTGGGGGGAACCCTTAGTAAACACCCTATATTTATGAATGCACCTCTCTGATTTGGATTTTCATTCTCTTTCCTAATTCTTCTCTTTGGTGTCACTGTTCTAAATGTTACTCAAAGACTTCCTGTGCCCTGTCAGCCTTCCCAGAAATGATATATTTCTTGCGCATTTTCTCTACCTTCCCCCATTTTTATTTGGACTTCTTGTAGGGCACTATCACATCTGTGGCCACATCTTTTAACTCCTTTTTTTCCCATTTCATTCTTGCCCTCATTTTATATTGTCAGTGTTTCTTGCCATTTCTTTCTCCAAAGTCTGCTCTTTATGTCACTTCTTCAAAACTCTGATTCATTCATGATTCTCCTTCTTACTGTTCTTCTTTTTTGAGCCAACATAGCTCTTTTCTAGTCTAGAACTCTACATAGCATGATTGTACAAAAAAGTATTCATCAAGTTCCAGTTGGACCGTGTCTTGTTTCATTTAACCTGTTTCATTAATATTATCTCTCTTCTTAAAAGCTTAGAGGTGAAGACATTGTACTTTGTTGCTCTATTCAAGATTTGCAGAGGAAAGTAATATTTTTAAATGTGATTGTTCGAAACATCTTTATTCTTTCTAGGCTAAAACTATTCTTGGGGAACACTTACTGAATGTTGGTATCAATCGAGATAATGTGTCTGAGATTCTTCAGATATTCATGGAGGCTCACTATGGGCAAACTGAGCTGACAGAGAGCTTGAAGACAAAAGCTTTTCAGGCACATACTCCAGCTCAGAAAGCATCAGTACTTGCTTTTCTTGTCAATGAGTTAGCATGCAGCAAAAGTGTAGTAAGGTAAGATTTTTCCCAAACAGGTCTGTAAAAATAAAATCATAAAAATGTTATAGTTCAAAAATAGTGTCTACACTGTGTTCTTGATGTTCTTATAATGAAAGCTAAAATTTGCTATGTTACTGCTTCTTACCTTTATGTACTTCTGATATGATGGAAGAGTAAAACTTTTCCATGTTTGGTGTGTAAGTTTGTTTTCAAAGCTGGCACCAAAATTTCTCCAGCTGTTTTTGGAGTAAAAGATGAGGTTGATTACAAAGAAATTTACTAGGTGTTCTAGGGAATAATTTAGAGGAGTTGTATAAGGCTTCTGCAATAGTCATTTTCCCCTTTTTCCTTTCCTTTTTTTAAGATTTCTTTTGTCCAAATACTTTAACTGGGGTCATAAGCTGAGGTGGCAAGCCTGATTTATCATGGTAGTAATTCAAGAAACTGTATACTTCATTTGTGGTCAGTAATGTATAGCATATCATAATTTAAAAAAAAACCACCAAACAACAAACCCCACTATGTTGAACAACATTTTAAAACCCAACAACGTGCAATAAAAACTTAGGAAACGCCAGTCTGTGGGATACCTAAATCTCTGCCTGCTTACTTACTGTGGTAAAGTCTTTTATCACCTTGGAGTGCGGTTTTGTTTCCTGGTGAATTTTGCTGCTTTTGGTATTCTGTGCTGCAAAAGTGAATCAGGGTAAGAATGAAAGAGATGCTTCATGTTTTCAAAGCTGAAAAATAGCAGAAGTGGGCAATGCAAGTGCTGTGCATGTACTGTGCCAGAGAGTTCATGTGTATTAATCAAAGTCATCATAGTAAGAAACTTCATCTTATTGCAGATGATAACTGTTAAGTCAGATTTGCAGAAATGATCATTCAGATCTTGACATTCTATATTTTCATCATAGAAACAACTATAACCTGCTAAATTGTTGAGGCTGGGATGTCTCAGAAGTGGGCTCGCAGATGATCACTGTACCGAAGCACTTTTTTGGTTCTTCAATTTCTGCAGTGAAAATTGAACGTTCATTTGTCGATCACATGGATCCTAGTTAGAATACCATAGATGTACCAGTGATAACTTTGTTTTCAGCACAGGGCTAGATGCTTTATGGCAAATACATCTGGAGGCTTGACATTGAATAAGAAAGAAATGTCAAATTCTTTGAATGACATTCTTTGTATGGAAAGAAAGCTTATGTGATACGGTAAATAAAGACTGCCTGACATAGGTACAGCAGTATGCTACATCGGCATTTCTGGTACTGGAATCTCCTAGCTTTAAAATTATTTATTTTAAATATTTATTTCTCCAAGATAGTTCTCTGAGACAAAGTATCTGTACATAAATGCCTGTCAGAAAAAGATATGTAAGTTCACAATTAATAGATTATTTTGTCTTTGACAGTGAAATTGATAAAAACATTGATTATATGTCAAACTTAAGGAGAGATAAATGGATGGTTGAAGGCAAACTTCGGAAGTAAGTTTCGTTTCCTTAAATACTACAATTTATTGGGTTTTTGCATTTGCTCAGGTATGCTGCTATACAGAAAATTGGATCAAAGGTAAAAATTAGCTGATGCAATTACAGGTTTACCTAGAAGTTAGTAACTGAACTGCTTAATTAAGATGCATGTGGAATTAGAATGGAGCAACACCAGTCTTTTACAATCTATTAAAGATGCATGAGCTTCAGAGGGTTAGTGTCCCTCAAAATTGGAGCAAAGTCAAATCCATTTTGTATTCTTTGGAAGACAGTAAAAAAATTTTTATTGGAATATTACAGGACCTATCAAATAGCTGTTGATGTTATCAAAGTTTATTTGGACTGACCATAATTACCAATGTTCATTCTGAAAGGCGTTTTGAGAAGACATGATTTTCATACAACAATTACCAATTGAGTTTTGCTAATTCATATTATGTTATCTTAGTGGTTCCCATCTGTCAATGTTGTGTCGTTCTCCATAGCTAGAGATCATATGTAGAATGCAAACTTTGAGATATTTTTTATATTTTTATTTAAGGTAAAATTGGAACTCTGTAAGGGTTGTCAGTTTAATATCCACTGTTCTCCCATCCTACAAGACAAAATTCCATACAGCAAGCATAACAGCTCCAGCTACCAGGAAGCTAGAAGTCATAGAGTTCATGAATCACAGGGGGTAAAAATACATAGCCAGACTTTACTTTCTTTTTTTTCTTAGTCATCTTTACCTCTTACTAGGAATGGGTGAATCCTTTCTTAGTCCTTGCTTAAGGTACTTGTGTTTCTAATCTTATGTCTCCCTTTTTTCCCTTTAATGTATCTCAGAAGGAAGAAGGAAAGAAGTAAAGAAGAAGGACAAGAGGGAGGTAGAGGAGAAAATTAGACCAATAAAAAGAAATTGTCTACTAATACTGCAGCTCCCAGTCTGCACAGGGTTAATATATTTTATCTTTTAGGACAATCCAGATACCTTTTCCTGTCTTCATCTGTGTCCCTTCAATGGGATATAGTTTAAAAAGTGTTTCTGACGTTCTGATGTAGCCAACTGTCCATTAGTGGAATGGGACCTTTACGTGTCCTTGTCTCCTTAGGGACTGGTTAGTCTTTCTCTCCCTCCATCAAACTGTAAGTACTTGTAGATGTAGGATCTCCCCTTTTCCTCATTATCTCTCTTTTCTTCCCTTTCAAAGAGTGGCATAATACCCTGAAGTCCCAAGCCCCTCTTCCTTTCTACAATCATTTCTCTCTTTCTTGTGTTTTCCCCTCATGTGTGGATTTCAGGTTCCAGTAGTGCTGTCCCTATTTTTGAGCGTAAGTATCACAGGAGTGCTCAGAAACGTTGTTCTTCCACTTCTTTGAACTCACTGGACTTGATTTATCTCTCTCATCTTTGGTTCAAAATCTTTGGATTTTCCACTGGTTTTCTGATGAATTCTAAGAAGCTTTTTAGAAGAGCCTTCTTTGATCAATTTTAAACGATGTTTTCTTCTTTACTGTGTCAGTTGGTGTTTTTCGTAAACTCTTACAACTGTTCTGGGGCTTCTCTGAAAAGACATCTGGCCATTTCAGTCTCTGGTCTTTTTTTCTGCTTCCAGACTTCATTCTTAGGCACGTTATCTTCCCCAGCCATGTCAAAGCTCAGTCCAGTTTTTAAGCATCCCAGTCCCAAACAGTTTTGCATAGGAATATCTGGTTTCTTGACTACTCGCCGTGTAATCAACGGATGTGTACTCTTTTCATATGCATACAGACCTTTACATGACCCTCAAAACAAGCCTGCCATGTGTGGGAAGTCTATAGTGGTAGCATAATGGATGCTGAGGAATGAGTTTATTTTATCTCAGCCTGGTTTGCCAGTGTTTGCTGTGGTAAATCTTCTTACCACTATGTCCAGACTGTCTTGAAGTATATCCAAGTGGGATGAGAAAAGATTCTACCTGTATCAGATGTTTTCATTAAGTGATTTTTGTGTGTGTGTACGTGCTCACTTTTAATGAGATTAGCTCCTCAACTGGATATCAGGGTGGGGGGGAATAATATGAAAACCTGTGTTTGTAAGATAGAAAAAAGCAACATTAAAATCCCAGGTTGGAAAATGGAATCATTGTGTAAAAGCATATAGGGATGCCTTCCTCCACCACCATCCCCACCCCACCCCCCCGAAGATATTGAACAAAATTCCTTGATAAGTATAATATATGGTTGGAAACAAAATTCTGAGCTGCCTGGACTTTTTTCTGCTGGGCTGGTTGGTGGTCAGTGAGAGGTTGCATTTAATACCTTCTCTATCACATTTAGATGTGAATCTTGATAGTAATCACCATTTTTGTAAAGCTACCTGTCTCATACAATCAATTCATCCATCTTTGTGCTTTGTGTATCAAAACTATAGTCAGAAGACTGTCTTACCTGAGATGATTCAGCTTTTTTTTTAACTAGATAATCATAATCTCAGCATCTTCTTTTCCATTACATGTTGTCTTCTTGGCATCTTTTTTGTAGCTTGATCAATATAAAAGGGAATAAAAATTAATTATAGCTACTTGAAGGGTCAGGTAATATGTTTCTTTACAAAACTTGAAATACTGCAGAACAAGGTTTTTCACTGCTACAATGTTCTGTTTAACATGCCAGTGTTATGGCATGCACCTTGTAAGTTAATTTCTTTCCAGTGAGGCCATTTCAACTGTAAAGGATGATGGTATATCAAAAGTAGTGTTACGCAAGGGGAGAAGTTACACCTGGAGTTTGGGTAGGAGGTGGTAATGCTGATTTGAGAAACTTTTTTTTGAGACCCAGGCTGAAGTATTTTAAAAGAACTATGTTTGGAATTTCTTTGCCTTGCTACTGCTTAATATTTAGGTGCAAAAATTATGAGAAAAGTATGAAAATTAAGTCAAAAGGGGAATTTTCTTTCTATGATCTAGTAAACATTACAGATTAGATTACAGCAGGCTTAAGTCACGCATCTGATTATATGATGGACCGCCCGCTCTCTTAAAGGCCTATAGGCTTTATAATTCTCTCAACAGTTGCAGATCTCATTTTGGTATATACCTGAAAGTGAGAAAGAGAAACAGTTTTCTGAGTGAAGGTTTTCTTCTCTGAGAGCCATATGTCTAGGTAGCCGCAGGAAAATTAGGCTACCTCTTGAAATATCTGAGCATTTTCGAAGTTATGATCTCATTGGTTTCTGCTTCTGCGCTACTTGGGATACAAACTGCTGCCTTCTTATGCTTATGGTGCTATTAAAAGAGAGCATCTTTGATTCATTTCCATCCTTATAATTTGTCGTCTAGTGCTTGACAGCATTATATCTCTTTTTTTGCTTTCAGCAAAAGTAGGCTTTTTTTGCTTCTTCTCATTTCTTTTAGGTATATGAAAGAGGTGTTGGCTGGTTGTTGAACTTCTACCTGCCAGCTTTATTATTGAATTGTCCTCAAGATTATCTTAGTCTAACTTGTCTCTAAAATTGTCCAGTCACGCAGCAGTCAGTCCAGTCATTGACTAGTGGCTTTGTTTGATAGTTAATTCCTGTCTATAGGCAGGAATTTCCCATCCAGATGAAGAGGATTTGATGGTTTGAAGTTACCCTCATAAAAAGGAAATTTTTTTCTAAAAAACTTAGTGTAAGCCCTGAGTAGTATCGATACTCAGTGGGACTAAGGCTTTTTGGCACCAGACCTGAAAAAGTTACTTGCTTCCAAAGTCACTGGGAGGCTTGAAAATTTTTTTTATCAAAACATATTTTAAATTGCTAAAATAGCTAAAAATCCATTTATATTGGAAGAATAAAAGTGTAAAACTTTCTGAATTCTCCAGTGGATTAACCACTGCATTTGGGGAAAAAAAAAAAAAAACCCGAACCAAAAAAAAACCCCCAAAACCCAGAAACAAAAAAACCCCAACCAAACCACACACACACAAAAAAACAAAGCCCAACTGTTTTCAAGCAAACAGAAGTGCCCTTGATGATTTCTTGGTAATGGTCTTTTTAAAAAGTGCTGGTACCAATTAAGCAGTGACAGCTTCATTTAAATCTGTGCTGTTGAGTACTGGCTTTGTTTATCAGCACTTTAGAAGGCTGATACATTTGTCAGTGTGTTCAGAAGCCAGTACTTCTACAACACTCACCATACTTGTAGCCACTTGCTGTATGGAATATTGTTTTGTAGGATGGGAAGAGAGAGGCATACGACAAGGAAAAATTACATACTGGTAATTGTGTTTGTCGTTACCATTCTACTTTTCCCATCCTACCTTCTTCCAATCATCTCTTACAAAGAATCTTTGTCTTTTCTACACATGTTTGTGAATCTCTTCTAAGTCAGTTGCATTTTTGGTCTGCATTATAAGTCACTGGTTAGGTCTGGCTATTTATACCTCCTGTGATTCAGCATGTTTGCCTGCTAGCTCCCTGATAGGTGGAACTATAATCTTTGCTGTGTGGAATCTTGTCTTATAGGGGTTTTATAGAAGAAGAAGGTCTACTACAACCATAATTACTGGTATGTAAGTTTCCCTTTTCTTTCATAAAAGGAAAAAATGAGAGTTTAATTAGTTTAGGTAGCTAAGATTTCTCAGAAAAATATGTCCTAGAATAAAAAGATAGCCAAAGCAGAAAAAAAATTAAAAAAATTTAAACCAACCTTGCTGTTGTCATGCAAATGTAAATAATTTCATACTCCCACTGAGGACTTTTGCCTCTTTTCCCCCCCTCAGACACAGGTATTTTATGATCATGTTCTTAAATGCATAAAACAAAAGATAAAGAAGTTGAAATGGTTCATTCTTCTAGTTGTCTTTCCTGACTTTTCAAAATCACTCTTGTGTTTCATTTCTTCTAAACAGTTACACAATAAAATGCACCTGGGAGAAACAGAAATTCTATTAAGAACTGAATACGAGGCTTAAGGGGTTTATAACCTGAATTTTTCTTGTTGACTAATGGCAATAAATGTTGAGAAAATACAATGTCATTTTAGAACAGAAGAGCTAATTTGCATCTAAAATGTGTGATTTACTATCAGTCACACAGGAAGAAAGGTATGTTTATGCTACAGACATGGTCTGTAATTTCACCCCTTGTCATGTGTTTCAAGGCTTAGAATCATCCATGCCAAGAAAACTGGCAAAAGAGATGCTACAGGAGGTGGTGACGTAGGAGAGGAACAGCACTCTCTGGAAACACCAACACCAGGCCGCAAACGCAGACGAAAGGGGGGGGACAGTGATTACGATGATGACGACGATGACGACAGTGATGATCAGGCAGATGAGGATGATGAGGATGAAGAGGACAAGGAAGATAAAAAAGGAAAGAAGGCAGAAGTTTGTGAGGACGAGGTGGGGGATTTGAAGTGTAGTGAAACTTAACTGATAAGTTAAAAGCTGTTTTCCTTCTGTTTCTCTGCAATATGGCACTGCTTCCCCAAAATCTCATGATAAAAAGGAAGAATAACTTACTCTAATATTTTTAAATTTTTGGAATAAGTTTATTTTCAGGAGTATTTTTTTTTTAAATAGCTATTATAGTATGGGTTGGTAGGTGTATTGATGGTAGGGTTTTTGGTTGGTTGGTTGGTTTTGGGGTTTTTTTTTGATGGCTTGTTGTTTGTTTTCCCCATGCTTAGTTGTTTTGACTTAGTCTTAATTTCTCTGAAATTCTGAAAGATTGTACCAGATCCAGAGAACTGCAGCTTTGTTAGCAAATGAGCATAACACTAATTTTCTCTTGGAGGAGAATAAAGGTCATTTATTATTTAACAAAATAATAAAGAATTGTAAAGTTATAGTTAACATAATCTATATAAAGCTTGCCGGTGAGCTTCCTGTGTATTTTTTTCATAACTTTTCCAGGGTAGTCACTGCCTGACTGTATTTGATCACAAGATGATAAATTTTACTAGTCACGATCAGATAAGATACAGGAAGGATCACTGAAACATTTTAGCTTGTTGGACTGAGTTGTGTCTACAGCAGTCAAAAGATTTTTGAATAGAAGTGCCGCAGACCTGTAAGATTCACTGTAGAACTCTAGAATTCTCTACTGGATGAAACTTGATAAAAGAGACAAGCAATACTGAATGCTACATTTTAGCGCACTGGGTGTTGCACTATTTGCCAGAAGGTGATCTATTTATGCAAGGTTATTGAAGGCCAAAGTGAGGGTTTTTGGGTGCTGTGGATATGGCCGCTTGAACAATGCATGTATACAACCTATGTGAATTCGAATCTTTGCGAACACTCTTCATGAGAAACCCAACTAGTTCCTAGGGTAGGAACAGCTCTTAGTACTTGAAATAAATCCAGAATAATAGCACAATAATATGTATGAATTTAAGAGAATACCTTAAGAGGCATAGCACAGAGTTCTTACAAATCAGTACTTCAGAATTAAAAGCTAGTAATATTTAGGTATCTAATCTCACATCTGTCCCTTAATGTTTTTCCCTTTAGTACCATCTGCTATTTTGGTGCATTGGGCATTTCATAGACCAAAGTCCTGTAACTCCTGCAGAGAGATTAATTTTCTCATATAACAGAAGTTCTATTGCATTCATGCAGTGTGTGGTATTTCAGAAGGTTTCACTCTGGTACGCTCTTGCAGAGCCAAGGAATACCAGTATCTTACGGTGCAGGTGATTGGGTGCTTCTAGGATTTTGGTTGTATACTTTTGGAAACTTACTGTTGTCCCTGAAGACTTTCTTGAATTAAATGAAAACTCTCTTTATGGAAATGACTCCCGTTTTTAAACTGTGTCAAGAAGAAGGGAACCATAGACTTAATCATGGGTGCAATCCTCTTCAAAAATCAGCAAGATTAATACTGGAACTTTTATAGCAGACTTGTAATTTAAAGTGCCTCTACAGTTTCTTGTAGGCATTGAAATAAAATTCAAGTGTGCACTGACCAAAGACTGATTGATAAGATTTTGACAGATTCCATTATTTCATGCATGAAAACCACTTAGAAATTAATGTGAATATCCAAGAAGCTTCATAGAAACAAAGATTAAATTCTATAGTCTTAAGTATTCATGCACAAACTGAATTATTTCTTCCAGCAAGATATTGTTTTCAGTGAGTGTTTGTCCACAAGCCTTCTCCTTCGTATGCATGTGGGATGGTTTGGAAAGATTCAAGATACATCTTTTTCCAGTTACGTTGTTCTTAACCAAATATATTGAACAAGCATGAGACTTGAACTTTTTTTACCCTTAGAATTTGCCTCTCATTTCCTCTTAGATCTTTTTACTGTAATGTTAGTAAGACGTGGTAGTATGACTTTATCCTGAAATAAATTTGGCACGACAATGTATTTGGTGATTATAGGATGACGGGGACCAGACAGCAAGTGTTGAAGAACTAGAGAAGCAGATTGAAAAGCTGACAAAGGTGAGAGGTCATTTGTCTTTGTTATACTACAAATTTGATCACTAGATGTCATGAGTTAGAATGTTAACCGTAATTTTCAATTCTCTAACTTAATATAAATTGAAATAAGGATCAGCTTTTGTTCATGAAAATAAGAATGATGCTACTGTTCGTGACACCTGAATTGTGAGGTTAGTCTAGTGGCACTAAGTGGTTATGACTCAAAAGACAGTTAGAAAGCTATTGATAATATATTTGCACATCTCAGCATAAAAAGTAATACAATTTTTATCCAGACCTAATTGATATACTTCTGTTGGTTTATCTTAGAAAGTGATGATGAATTTTGTGTACAAGAAGCAATGACTTTGCCGTTATACAAATGATTGCAGTTCTCATACCCTCCTGCAGCTGGCTAATTTCTGCAATTGTGTTCCAAGCCAATACAAAGAGCTGTCTTTGCTTCAGATTTTGAAAGAAGAAACAGTGGAATACAAAGAGAAACATAAATGAGAAAGATAGAGTGCTGTAGATAGGGGTACTCATGGCCCATGTCTTTATTCTTCATATCAGAAAAATCCATCATTTAAGATTTTGTCTCCTGGTTTCTCTCATGTTCCTAATTGCAATAAATTAGCAGTCCAGAATTATACCTGACTTCCAGCAATGTCAATTTGGCAGAGCAAGAATTGAATAAACAATCTGAAATTTTTGTTGGTCCCCCTCAGAGAACTGTTTTTGTTTGAATACAGAATTTCTTTTCAGACATTATTGTCCTCATTCTTTTATGAACCAGTTAAAATACCTCATTAGTTTCCCATCAGGAGCTGCAGTATCAGCTATCTTCAGTGCTCTGTTTGCCATTTGCTGTTATTGCATCATTGATAAGATTTCAGCTGTTCTTGTGCAATGAAATCTTTGATCCTATTGTTCCCTGAGAGTCAGGACCTACCATCGCAAAATTTGTTTTTAAAGGGAGACTGATAAACTTAAGCTGAACCAGGAAGTGATTGAATTGATTTTTTATTTTTTTTTATTTTAAAGGGAACTCTGTAAGTAAAATCATCAAGGCAGCAATTGTGAGTAGAGTATCATGTAACACGCACACAAAATCTCCGAGAGTGCCTCCTCATGCAACCCTTGGACTTTGCTCAGTCTGGCAGCCAGGAGGTGTTTTCTGTTGTAACAAATTTTTTCCCCCCTATGGAAGTATAATGCTTTCCCTTTTTTAAAACAGCAACAAAGCCAGTACAGAAAGAAGTTATTTGAAGCTTCGCACTGTTTGCGTTCAATGATGTTTGGTCAAGATCGTTACAGACGCCGATACTGGATTCTGCCCCAGTGCGGTGGTATTTTTGTAGAAGGCATGGAAAGTGGTGAAGGTAAGAAACATAAAGGAATAATGTCACCCCAAGGCATACTATGCCAAGATGTACTGCCCGCATCTGTAAGCTGTAATTTCATGCAGTGAGGTCTTTAGGCTTCACCTTCAACCAGAGGCTAAACAGGCTGCTGTCAGTAGAGCTCTCAATTTATATGGTGCTCTCTGATACTCTCTGATTATGAAATATCAGTTAATATCTTTCAAAATGAGGACTGATATTTTGGAAGTTTTCAGTTGTTATAGTTCTGTATATTATGCTTTTTCATGTTTATCTACATGGGATATTTTTTGGCTCTTTCTGAACTATTTCACGTTTCCCTATGGCAGTGAACTCTGCACATGAACACTAGGATGACCACAGAATGCAAAAAAAATTTCTTTTCACCTTCACTTGTTTTATTTTGTGTAAATACACAGACTATCCTGTGCTTGAAGTTTTGATATATGTCTGCAAAATTATGAAAATTACTTTCACACAGTGAAGTACTGTGTTTTCTAATCAACAATAGTCTGTATTTTACCAACTGATCTTTCTTCCAATCCAGCAAATGCTGAAATTAGTTCTGCTGAACTCAAAATGTAATTTTGTGGTTTTGACAGTTGTATATTAATTGTGATTTGAATTTTTCACACACTTTAAATTGGATAGAAAGAGAAAATATGCATTAATCTGACCTTTTTGTGGATCTTAGAATTTTTAAACATAAGCCCTCATTTTTGTCATAGAAAAATCCTTAATTCTGATATAGATGAAGCAAAACCCCATTAGTCTCACATTTTTTCCCCCAAAATAACAAAAAAACCCCCCTCTGATACACATCAGAATTGCATGATCTAAAGAAAATTCCATTATTCTAGAGAGCTATTTAATTAAAATAACATTATAGCATGGTATGAAATGAGCCTTGTTTTGGCCCCAGAAATAAACTGTAGAACTTTTCCTAAATCTAATCTTGATCTTCAAGTTACCTTTCTAAAATGGGTAGCATAAAAAAATATTTTTTCTGTCTCCTGTTCTGCATTGTTTTGTGATGTGTGTTAAGAACTGTTTTGCACACGAGTAGCTGGATACAGAAGGTAAACTGTCGTATGCTGTACTGCTTGCATTCCTTTTGTTCACTGTATTTTATTTATTACATTTTAACCGGATGAATCCCCAAATACTTTGAAAATTGTACACAAAATCGTTGAAATACACCTACATGTCTTAAGATAGTAGAAAAAAACAAAAAACCACACAAAAGTTTTAGCCAAGAACTGTAGGGCACACCCATATTTTTTTAATGTACTGTCTTAATGGAAGTTCAACTCCCTGAATAGCAAAATAGACATGTTCTTAAGTTCTCAGCTACTCCCTTTTCCTGTTAGATCTTTGTTTGCCCTGTTTCAGTAAATTCTACAGTTTATCAACTCCTAATTCCTGTATCTAAACATTGGAAGTGTGAGACACAAACTTTTGAATGACCTATCCGTTTAAAAAATAATTCTCCTTCCTTCTTCGTGTAGTCATTTTGGTTTTTATGCTGATACTCTAATTGTTTATATCTGGACATGCACCATAACTGTGGACACATTTTGAAGTTTTAATAGGAGGAGATATTATTTTCTTTAATGAATTATCTTTGTGAAAATTATGATTTTCCAGAACGATCAAGTAAACTTTTGTGGATGTTCTGGCTATAAACCATAAGCAGGACCTTTTTTTATTTGCAATTGCAGTATCTGTTGAAAAATAACTTAAGAAGTTGGAATGTCGGGTTTTCTACCTCCTGCCCCCTTTCCCGACATTTTTCCCTCCCATTTTATACTTCTTAAGACTTTTCGTCTAAGTTGACATATCAGCATAAGGGTAGAAGAGAAATGGTTAAGAAAGACTAGGAGACCAAGAAAGACAGAAAAATGTTTTTCCTTTTCATAAAAGATAGATTTTCCGCACCTCATATGTTTGAAGAAACTGGCTTTTGCAATCAGCTTCTGCTTGTTTAGATGTTGTGCTGTCTGATCACATCTGTCTGCTTAGCTGTATGTTGAGTCCCAGTCATCATGTTGGGTGGCTCTTGAAAGAGTTTTAAACTTTCAAGAATGTTGACAATGTTTGATTTTTATTGAAAGAGGTAACATATTTAATATTGTGTTTCAATATTTGGGGGATATTTGATTTCACAACAGGAATTTTGGTCCTCTTTTTTGTAGTTGGCTGTGAGTTTGAGTCTTTTACCAAAATAAGCTTTAAGGCTATAAACGTTATACCCTCTTGATAGAAACAGAGGAGGTTTTTAACACATGGAGAGTCTTGCAAAAAGAAAGCTGCCAAAAATTTGTCCCTTTCAAAGACTTCACTCTGGCAAACTGCTTCAGACATATATGCATCTTAAGGGAGAATACTATAGCTATGTTAACTGTATTGAGGTTATTTTTTCTCCAGATGTTTAGCAGGGTGTGTGCCTTGAAGTGTTCTATAAAGTGACAAGTGATTTCACTAGGAAAAAAAACCAAACAGATATTGCGATCTAGCATGCATTCAGCCAAAAATTAAGTATTTTTTTATGTAATTATGATGGTAAAAATGGTCTAAATTAGTTGGTCTATTATATTTCATTTATGTTTCTTTTACATTTTTAGGCCTAGAAGAAATTGCAAAAGAAAAAGAGAAGTTAAAAAAGGTAGAAAGCATGCATATCAAAGAAGAGGAATTCGAGGCAGAAGAAAAATTACACTGTTTAAATACAACTCACTGTGAGCAAAAGGAAGATCTGAAAGAAAAGGACAACACTAATTTGTTTTTACAAAAGCCTGGGTCGTTTTCAAAACTAAGCAAACTGTTAGAGGTAGCAAAAATGCCACCTGAATCTGACGTTATGTCCCCAAAACCTAATGGAAGTGCAGCAAATGGCTGCACGTTATCTTATCCAAGTAACTCAAAGAACTCTATCTGCAGTCTTCAGCCCACTGTATCACAAAGCACCATTGAGAAGTCTGATGCTAATAATCTTTTCAGTCCTAATCCAAGTGGGACAGGAAAGTTTTACAGTTCTCCACTAATTCCAAATGATCAGCTGTTAAAGACTCTTACTGAAAAGAGCAGACAGTGGTTCAGCCTTTTACCGAGAATACCTTGTGATGACCTGTCAGTTACCCATATAGATACACCAGCTACTACAACTTCACTTACTCCTCAACCACATCCACCATCAAAGTCACCTTCCCCTGTTCCATCACCTCTTCTGGGCTCAACCTCTGCACAGAGTCCAATGGGATTAAGTCCGTTTGCATTGTCACCACTGCAGGTAAATACATGAAATTTTGAATCGTCTGAATTTGCTATGCTTATTTGGGCAGAATTTCTGTTTAGACAAATTGTTTCATAGAAGTGTTATCATTATATCTTCATTTCTTTATTTTTTTTCTGTTTCTAAATGTTAATAACTAATTCCATGTTTCAGATGATTTATAATCTAGGAGGTTTTTTAATAAAAATGATTAAAATAGGTAAAATTACGTAACCCAATGTATGATATTTTGTTTATGTATTTCAGTAATTTAATTTGGATTTTAGGAGGTTGGCCACTGGTATTAAATGAAAAGCAAATAAATAAAAACTGGTTTTCCAGAAACTTTAAAAGCTATTATTTTTTAAGCATTAACAGGGCCCTAATAAGGAGTATTACACGTTAAGTGTTACGTTAGTTTTTTCTTAAACTAATCAAAGCACTGAGCAAGAGCCTCCTTTATGTTTTGGTTATTGTTTGACAAATGGCATCCTAATCATAATTCAGGTTTCTTTGTATTAATTAATAATGGTCGTTGGGATTGTGTTAACAATATATTCTGTGTAGCAGATGAAGACTGGACTACCTATAATGGGACTTCAGTTTTGTGGATGGCCTACAGGCGTTCTTCCTTCAAACGTTCCATTTTCATCTCCTTTACCTGCTCTTGGATCAGGATTGGGATTATCAGAAGTGAATGGTAACTCATTCTTGGCATCTAGTGTTCCTGCAAGTAAAAGTGAATCACCAGCACTACAGACTGAAAAAACAGCTTCTGCCCCTTCTGCAGCAGTTGAAGTAGCCAAGCCAGTAGATTACCCTCACCCAAAACCTATACCAGAAGGTAAGTATAATACAACAATAAGATGGAACTATTTGAAGGATAACTTCTATAGTGCTGCTACGATGTTACAATTTTATATTTTTTTTTTAATAATTTGCCTATGGAATTTGGCTAGATGACTTCTCTAATCTGATTGTGTGTGATCACATTAAAAATACCTGCAAAGTGTTTATTTGCTTGTCTTGATTTAGAAATGCAGTATGGGTGGTGGAGAATTACTGATCCGGAGGACCTAAAATCTTTGCTTAAAGTGCTGCATCTCAGGGGAATAAGAGAAAAGGCCTTACAAAAGCAAATACAGAAACACATGGATTATATCACTCTGGCCTGCATCAAAAACAAGGATGGTATGTAGTTGATACTTATGTTATGCATGGTGTTGCGGCAAAAGACGACTGGCATAAAGCTCTTTGAGATGTGCTTAGATACAGAGGTAGAGTAGTGGCTGGAGAAAAAAGGTAAAGGTGTCATTGTAGTTGCCTTTTCACGAGCCTTGTTCTGGAAAGTTACAGGATCGGAGAAATCCTGTTTAATATAAATTGCTCTAGTGGCATAAGTGTGGGTAACCTTTTAAAGCTCTTTCCATCTCTGTAACACTCTAGCTCAGCCTCTCCTTCCCCTTCTTGCCTTTAAATTGCAAGTTTGAAAACCTACAGAATTTGTTGTCCATAGTGGGTATCTTAAGAGCAGTACGCTTTTACAACAATTCTTCAACGTTTGACTGGAGTAACGGGTAAATCAGCTTGAATTTACTCAGAGAAGTTATAATACTAATTAAAATAATAAAAATGTGATTCTCAAATACAGTTGCAATTATTGATATCAATGAAAATGAAGAGAACCAGGTAACTCGAGATGTCGTGGAAAACTGGTCAGTAGAAGAACAAGCAATGGAGATGGATCTTGCTATTCTTCAGCAGGTGGAAGATCTAGAGAGGAGAGTTGCATCAGCTAGTTTACAAGTTAAGGTAAAACCAACTTTTAGTAAAATGTCTCTTTAAAATAAGTGGTAAGAATTTAAAGTAGATAGTAGCAGTCCTTTTGCTGTTGGTAAGTGCCTTCTTATTCCATCTCTAATTGTCTGCAGATAAATCCACTGCAGCAGTATCGTGGATATTTGTGTTTGAAACATTTTATTGTGGTTAAATCTTCAGCTGAAGATTCTCAGAATTGCAGTTCCTGAAGAGTGTTCCTGTACAATGTGCAGTTCCCTCCATATTTTGTTAACCTTCTATGAATGCAAAGATTTTATTGCATGTAGACAGCTTAATTACAGTGGGGTTTGCCACAGTTCTGCCTGGTTTGGGTGATTGTTGTTAATGCTTTCAGAAAAGCCTGTAAGTACATCTTTGCTTGAGTCTTGTAGAGTCATGGAGAACATGCGATGGTTGTGAGTCTGAAAGAGTTAAGAATTCATGGGCTGTCTTTATGATTTGGAATTTTTCCAAGGTGTGTGTAAGGATATCAAATTGCATATGTTTGGTTATAGTACAGATGTAGTATTTGGGATCCAGTTTGTTCTAGGGATGGATGTTATTTCTCTGTGACCAATTGATACTGTCTCCTGAGCCTGTTGGACAGACAGACTCATTCTGATGTTTCGAAAGATAGAACAGGATACTTCAAAAGGAGAAAAGAATGCAGACTGTTGCAGAAAGGTCCTTTCAGAAGGTCTGGTAATGCTTGTATTTTTTGGTCAATTATTTTAGTTCCTTGGATATTTTGGAAACTGTCTCTACAGATGGATTACAAGTAACCAAGATCTACTGGAAACAGCGCTTCAGTTACTTAGTTTGATTCCATAAAACAGTTCCTCTGTTTACACACTAAGTTAACAGCATCCAATAAATGCGCAAACCTTTCTGTTAACATAGGGTTGGCTGTGTCCTGAACCTGCATCAGAGAGAGATGACTTGGTATATCGTGAACATAAGTCAATTACTAGATTGCACAAGAAGCACGATGGAGATTGTGCTGGAGGAGGAGAACACAATACCAGCTCTCTAGAGCGGAAGAGTGACAACCCTCTAGATATAGCTGTAACCAGACTTGCTGACTTGGAGCGGAACATAGAGCGAAGGTATCTGAAGAGCCCCTTAAGTACCACCATTCAGATCAAACTGGATAATGTGGGCACAGTTACTGTCCCTGCTCCTGCACCATCCATTAGTGGTGATGGTGACGGGTAGGTTATTGAGATTAACTTGAAAAATTATTGTGCTTCTTTGCTAATTGGAGCCTATTTTCTTATTGCCTGTTATCTATGTACTTTCTTGTATGTCTGTGATCCATATGGATCATGTTATTCTGCATGGTGCTTTGTAAAGATATTTTTTTGTTACGTTTGTTGATAATCTTGCAAAGTTATCTTACATTTAACTGGTTGTGACTAAGCTTTGAGGCACGTAGCCGCAGTCTGTGCACTACATGAAATTTAGTTGCTTAAACCTTATACTTATTGGCTGTGTACGTTTTGTCATTGCTTGGCTTTCAATGTGATAATGATTGTTCCACGTTTAAACATAAGCAAACACGGATGTGACCTACTTAATTTCTCTGTATTTCAATGCAGAACTGAAGAGGATATTGCTCCAGGGCTAAGGGTATGGAGAAGGGCATTATCAGAAGCGCGCAGTGCTGCACAGGTAGCTCTGTGCATTCAGCAGTTACAGAAATCAATAGCGTGGGAAAAATCTATTATGAAAGTTGTAAGTGTTTTTAATCTTTTAAAAATTACTGTAATCAAACTATTTTTGCTATATCCTATTTTCCCACTTTAGGCATTTTAAGATACCGTGGCAAATAATGTATTTCTTATTACTGTGAAACGTAATACAGTAAAACTGTACATTGTGCAAAGATAAATATCAGCCTAGTGTAAAAGATTGTCCCTTGCTTGCCAAATTCAGCGTCCTGAACTTTCTAAGATAAAAAGCCCCCGTAACTGGTTGCTTAAGGTGGTAAATATTCTTTAACATTTAGGTGAAAAAGAGGCATTTCTGGCTCCATCTGATTTAGTATTTCTGATCTCATCCGTGACATAAGCTTTATGGAGGCTCCACATCACATATCCCAATTAAGGACTTCATTTTTCAGAAAGTTGAGATCCTCCAAATGTGTGGCTTTGTTGCATGCACACTTCTCACAAGTGATACAAATTGGGCAAGTGTGTGAGCAAATAGGCTGAAATACCTGTTTCCTTGTACACTTAACAAGTAGATCTGTGTTAACTGCATACACAAAGAAGGCATGCAAAATGCATGTGTCAAAATTTGCATGGACCTTTGAACCTCAAATTTCTGAAAACAATACTACTACTACAGCAATAGTGATTATGATGTGATTTAGTGTGGCCAGTGCCATGTAGTGGATGGCAAAAGTGATTCTTTCATTAGTAGTCTTTTCCCTAAGTTTTTAATTTCTGCCAGTCCTATACAGGTTCTAATTACATCTGGACAATTAAAGGATGATTTAAATAAAAACTACAGTATAAGGCTGTACCTTTGAGTTTATATTGCTACAAATTTAAAGCTGTATCTTTAGAGCAAAAAGTTTACGAATTTAGTAGGAACACCTGAAAAGTCATTTGAATGTTTCAAGGTGTAGTAATTTCTTATCCAGAAAAAATACAGTATCATTCTCAATTTGATCAAAATGTTCTATGCATTTACTTACACAGTAAATGTAAGTATGTGTTGAAAACATGTGGAGCTCTTTAAGTTCCTGAAAAAGAAGTCCAGATATAGAAGAGTATCAAAAATCACACAATGTATGCAAGAAAATTGACAATACGTTAGATATTTTTAAGTCAGTGTGAATTTTAGGAAGTGCTAGGATCGTTTGTTTTGCCTTGCTGAATTTGTTCATGGTGGCCTTTGGATAAGATCCTTACTGATTATTATTTGAAAATACTGTTGTAAAATATATATTATTTTTATGAAATAGCAATTTATATATGCAGTATGGGCATAAATTAAGAAGATTCCTGAGGTAGTGTATGCGGGCCAAGTGATTTTGATGCGTATAAGATAGCTTTACTTGTCATGGACATTACTGAAATATGTCAAAAATATATGTAGTTTTGTGTGCTGTAGGACACCTATCTTATAATGAATTGCTTTTCAAATGGATTCCCAAATGTAGCCTTTAGATTAGTTCCTCACATACTGCATATATTCTTTTAAAAATGTGATCATTAGTAGACTCTGATTGTGGTAAAATGAAATGAAAATAATTTTGAGAGTGAATTTGTGTGTTTGGAGGGGAAAGGTAATTTAGGTACCATTCCTGTACTTCAAATTTTAAAAATTGAATTGAAGCCATTTTTCATGTATTATTAGTACTGCCAAATTTGTCGAAAGGGAGATAATGAGGAACTGCTGCTCCTTTGTGATGGTTGTGATAAAGGCTGTCATACCTACTGCCACAGACCCAAGATCACTACCATACCAGATGGTGACTGGTTTTGTCCTGCCTGCATAGCAAAGGTAATACTAACCATAAAGGTGAAGCAACTTACAGTGACGTTTTTATAGATGGTAGAATTACAGGTCTACCAGTGCTTTTTTTGATGAAAATAATGGTCTGTACGTTTTATATTGGGCTGCCATTAAATAATGAGATTAATAGTTTTATTTAACTTGGATTTTATTGGCAATAAAGGCTACAGTTTTATTTGTTTTAAGCTGCATTTTTTCATGTAAGTAGGTACACACTTTTCTTGCTGATTCAATACCATTGTTTTTTATTTCTCTTTTAGAATTTTTTTCAGTATTTCTTTCGAGCTTCATTGAGTGTTGACAGACCAATGTCTTAGATTCTGTTTGAAAAGAAAAATCAGAAAAAATACTTAGGAAATATTTTTTGTCATTTTTGTACATCATACTTTAGTTTTACTTTTTTGATACACTGTACATTTGAGAGAGAGCTATACATGTTTCCTGTATGAGGCTGCTTTTTTTTTTCTTCTCCTCCCAAGAAAAATAGTCTAAATAAAACTTCATGTTAGTTCTATTCAAATGACAGAATTAGCAGTTAGTGTTGTTTAAAAGTCCACAATTTTCCCATCCCTAGTTAGTCCTAAAATTAAATGCATTTTTTGCTGGACTTGTTATTTATGTTTTCTACCATTACCTGTGAATACTTTACCTGAAGAAATAGCTTTATAGTAAATACTCAATTTTGTATTTTCTCTGAGTATTGCCAATGTGATCCTTTTTTTTGTGTGCATCTTTTGTAATAAGGAAGACAAAGTGGTTTTTAAACCATTACGTGCAACAAAAGTAACAAAAACAGGTTAATGTTGAGAAATGATTGTGTAGTAGCTTATAAGGGTCTAACTCATGTTGTAACTTTTCCTGTCATTATCATGGTTATATTACAACTTACCTTGTTATAAAGATAGACATTACCCTATTGTGCTATAACTTATTCCATCACTTCTCTTGATACTCAAGTATTTGTCTGACACTATGCCAGCCTGGTTTGTTAGGAGGTACCGTTTTACCAGTCTGAAGGTCAGGTGCTTTTTATATTGTCACAAGTTTAGAACCTAAATCACTAGTAATAGGAATTTCTACAGCCTTACTTGCCTTTAGAGAAGAGCAAAAAGTGAATAATCTCTGATATTGAATATTTTGATTGTTTTGGTGCTTCTCTTTGATCTTCATTGCTGTCTGTGAATAATAACAGAGGTTTCTGTAATTTCTTGGTTATTGCTTATTTCAGTTCTCTCTATTGTAGGCAAGTGGTCAAACTCTGAAAATAAAAAAACTGCAAATCAAAGGGAAAAAAAGTAATGAACAAAAGAGAAGCAGGAAATTAGCAGGAGATACAGAGGACGAAGACTCTGCAACTACAAGCACCTCCTTAAAAAGAGGAAAAACAGACCCTAAAAAAAGAAAAATGGATGAAAATATTTCTGTAAGCCAATTAAAGCAAGAAAATTTCACTGCTATTAAGAAACCTAAAAGAGATGACTCTAAGGACCTGGCTTTATGCAGGTAAAGTGACAAATTCTAAACTTGGGTAAGTGTTGTTAAAACAAGTAGTTGCCCGATTCTTTTTATGTGTGTTCTGGGGAGCAAGAACCCTATTCTTTGTCATGTATGCCATACAGGTTATGATAATTTGAGTGTATTTACAAAGGATTTAACATGTGCATGCTAGGAGTAACTGCTGTATTTGATAACGGAGCCCAAGAGGAAAGTACCTAATGTTAGAATGTGGTCTATGAAATCTACTCCATGCCCTTCCAAGAGTGGGAAGGAACCCTGATAGCAGCAGTGGTACTGACAACTTTCTCAAGTGTAGCAAAGATGATTATCCACTGTGTCCAAAAGGCATTACATTATGGAGGAGGAGACAGTAATAGGAATGCATCTGCTTTTGTAGTATTACTGGTCAATCAAAAGCCTCATCACAGTTTTGGAAAGCCAGTATTAGCATCTGGTTTACTGGTTTGCAAATGGTTTACACTGAGGTTCGAAGTATTGAAGTTCCTGTGTTTTTCTTTTAGAATGTTGATCACTAGAATTTCATCTTACATAGGTTGCCTGGAGAGAACTTAATGCTATTTTAAATACTCAGTTAAGACATCCATCTTTATTGACAATGCTCTCGGCCTTACACAGGGCACAGAATAAAGTGCTTTCCTTTTATAAAGTGAATAGTTTGGCAGTACATGATGAATTTATGGAACAGTGAAAAAACTTCTGTGAATATATGAACAGCTTTAAAAAATACTGACTTAAAACCTTATTTCATTCAGCATGATTCTCTCAGAATTGGAAACTCATGAAGATGCCTGGCCTTTCTTACTTCCTGTAAACTTGAAACTTGTTCCTGGATATAAGAAAGTTATTAAAAAACCTATGGACTTTTCCACCATTAGAGACAAGCTAAGTAGTGGACAGTAAGTAAACCTATTGCAAACTTTGCATTTTAAAAATATTTAAACATTGAAATACAGTACAATTTTTTTTTTTTAAATAAACTATTTTGATGTGCCTGCTCTGGCACCTCTGCGATTGGTTTTAGTAACTGAAAACCAATAAAACTGCCAGGTCAAATGCACAAAATCAATCAAAAGGAAAAACTTTTTTCCTCTCCTCTTTTCTCATTGAGACATCTTAGTGTGGTTACGTGTAAGCAAGAACCAACTGTGTGGACTTTAAGCTAATGGAGTCCCTGTAAATAATAATGTCGTTGTGGAGTAAATTGGTATCCCTGTTGTGGGAAGCCAGGTAACATTCCAGTAATGGTGGTTAATAATTTTATAATCCTAGAAGTAGACTGCACAACTTCCTAAAAAAGAGAAAGACGCTATATGCCTCTGTTCCCCTTCCCTCCTTGTTACATCCCTGTGCTCTAATGACTCACCACCACCACAGAAGACTTTGTCACCCATAAAGACTGACCCTCTTCAGCGTCTGTCAGCTCCACACAAAGCAAGTTTCCTAGGATAACACAAGGGGCTTTCTAACCTCTTCAGGCTTTTTCTCCCTTGAATCTGAGATTTGAATGCTCCACACATGCTCATGGGAATCAGTAGACTTGTAGCACTTACTGTCTGTCTTTTAGTAATTCCTGTGACCATTGGAACACAATTTGGGCCATGTATGTTCAGGATAATAAAAAGAATAACAAACACAATGTTACAGGATTGATCTGGGCAACCTTTTTTTGAACCTGATTGTCCCTCTTTTAGGTAAATGCAGCTGTACTCAGCACTTAATTTGGAAGGACTTGAGCCCAAGAATAGATGAATAAATGGGAAATAGCCATAGTGTTTTAACTAGAAAGCTATTGAAGGGAAGGAGGAAGTTAATTTTTAACAAGTTTCTTTTCCAGTACAGGCTTGAAATTCTACATTAGAGTTTTTGAGGAAAATAGCAAATGCAGCGACAAGAGTATTTCCTTCCACTGATGTTCATTTTCCTGTTAATATTTAAATTAGAATTGAAAAATTGAAAGTATAATTAATATGTAAAGCATTCATTGAATATTCTGTGGCTGGTTGTAAATTCACTGATGTTGAGGTAGTTCTTTCTCATGTAGTTGAAGTGTTTTTTCCCCTTTGATTCTCTATGTTGCAAAAAATCATTCACCTTTTTCTTCTTTCAGGTACCCTAATCTTGAAGCATTTTCGCTAGATGTCAGGCTTGTCTTTGACAACTGTGAAACCTTTAATGAAGATGATTCTGACATAGGCAGGGCTGGCCACAACATGAGGAAGTATTTTGAAAAAAAATGGACAGAGATTTTCAAAGTGAGCTGAAGTTACCAGAACTCTGTTTTCTTCTTTTTTTTTTTTCTTTTCATTAAATGAGGACTGATAAGACCAGCAATGTGAACTGTATTTACATGAAAGTGCAAGGCACATGCATAACTAATGACTGTTTTTTTCCTTTAAAATATCACAGAGTTGTGATACTAGTTCTAAAGGCTTCACTCCTACAGCAACCATGGCCCCTTGGTTATTGGTTTGTGTGTTTTAACAAACTAATTTAGGTAGAACAGGGAAGCACACCCAAAGAATTTCAAAGAAAGGGGTGTTATAGTGCAATAGCAATTTAAAATATATCAAAACGCACTGAATATTCAACCACCAGAGCTCTACTTGGGGAAATGATTCTCTTTTCCCTTTCAATAAATATCTATTTTTCATTTTTTTACTTTGTAGTTTATTTTTTAGTGAATGTATTTAATTTTATGAATTATTTATGATTATACAGCATTCAGAATCTTCGTTTTCTGTGAAAAGGAAGAATTAGAAAATTGCTTTAAATCTTGAAAATACAACAAGGAATGTTTTAAAATATAAAACAAAGCCAAGTAAAACTGTTTACACTGATGTGCTGTAAAAGCACTAAAAATTAAACTTTACTGTAGAGTTACAATTACATTTATATATATGTTGCTGCATCACTTGTGTAGTTAAATTGTATTTCAAGACAGTGAAGAAAAATTGAGACATGTATATACTGTTCATTATTGTTTATATTAAGTCTTGTTTTAAATATGTATGATGTGTACATATTGTTTGCAGACATTATTGTTTATGCCTTAGGAGGACGGTAGCATTTTATTTTAGTCTTAAGGTAATTATAGCTATATGGCTTGTACAGTAATTATCCTCTACCAACACTGTGGAGTCTCCTTAATCTTGGTAGTGCCTGCCTTTAAAACAGGGTGTAGGGGATATTAGTTTTCCATTTTTCTATTTTGTTATATAATTTCAAGCCACCACGGCCTCAAATTCAAGTATAATCATTTGTATCCATGTGGAATAAAATTGTGACAATTTCCTACGCACACAGTATTTTTTCATAGAAACATTTCCCTCCATTTGCCTTGCCACAGAAGTAACAAAGACGACATTTGTAACCACTGTGTTTTATCTACTGTGTGTTGTGGTGGCCTGCTGGGGCAGATAGATCGGAAATTTTTTTTGTACTAATGTAAGAGTACTTGAACTTTTATTTAAAAGAAATGTTGTGGAAAGGTAGCATTCTTTTTCTTTGCCTTTTTTAGGAGTGTTATTTTTCACTAGTATGTGTGGCACGGATACAATAAAAGACTGTTTTGCAAACCAGATTTTCTTGGCGATTTTAATACTTTGGATCCTGTGTACACAGGATTTTTTAAAATAATATCTTGGGAGTCTTGCATTTAACATTCAGTTCTTATTATGATGCATCTAATTCTCCTGGCCTTTTAATGGTAATTCAAAAAGAAGCAATTGCCAAGCAGCCAGAGTGCAGTTCAACTGCCTATTTGAATGAGCATCAGTAGCATTAGGTGTAACCAGTGGGCTGCCTAGTATTTGACCTGTTTCTGCCAGTCCTGTTTACTGTAGTTACAGTGTGAATGCACATGATAACGTAAATACATGCCACATGTAATGTTTCTTAAAACCACTGTCCATGCAAATTTTTGTCTTTTGGGGGGGTGGGGGTGGGGTTTTTGGGGGTTTTTTTGGTCTGTAGAAGGGCATGAGTCATAATCCTTGCTCTTGACTGAAGAAAATTGAGGAATTACAAATGAATATTGCGGAACCCCAATACCTATAGCTCCCTCACAAAGTAATGTTTTGGGGGTTTTTGGGGGGGGGAGGTGTGAGTTTTTTACTTTTAAACTAAGCCCGCCATGTTTGAGTCTTAGAGCCTTGTTTTATATATTCCCTTGCCATTATACTTCCTGTCTCTGCTGAGAAGGAACAGCCAGTGCCTGGTTTTTAATAAAATTTTTGTTTCTGTTGCACTCCCCAGAACATTTTGTTCCATAATAATTTTCTTTTCTAAAGTGCTTTTAGCATAATTCGTGTTACTTAGAATAAAAAATTCATGTTTGGGTGTCAGGCAGTCTTGCATTCTAACGTTAGCTCCACCACTGACTGCTTCGCACCTTTCCTTTTCATCACCTTTCTGAAGACTTCAATAAAAAGGTTTGCTGACACGTTCCAGAGATGTGAAGATTAATCAGTGTTATGAATGTACAATGGTAGGCTTGTAAGAGTGTTATAAGTATGCTTTGATTATTGGGAAAACTATTTCTTTGATGCAAAACAGAATTGGGTTTTCTTGCTCAGATTCTGTACTGGTTAATGCTTTATCTGCCATACGAGATCTAATATTAGTGTTCTGAAAAGTCAGATCAACATTACCAGCTACACTGCATAGATGCATTTTTTTCAGCTTGTATCCTAATTCAGCTGAACAGCCGGGAAAGTTAAGGTGGTAACAGCTACTATATCTATGATAGTGCATCACCTCTCTCAACTTGACATTACCAATGTATTGCTTTGCTCACTAACAGCCACTGTCTTCATTATTATTTCAGTAAAATTAAATTTACAGGAATTATTATATTTGAATGGCAAGCTTGAATCATACACATGCCATCACATATCTCCACAGAAAAGAGCAGGGATATAACCACTATAAAAATGTGTTTAACTTTTCTTCTTTGCTAACTTTCTCTCCTGTTGATGTCTGTTTGTCTCTTCTTAAAGGAAAGGTTTTCCAGTGGGCTCTTCCTTTCTGAACAAAGTATGCTGGTCTGTTTAGAATATTGACAAGCTTTCAGACTTTTTTTAAGTACTGTTAATGGTGTTCAATGAAGAAGAGTTCTGGTTGTGAGTGTGGGTTCTCTTTTGTCTCTTGGCAGCTCTTTGAAAAAAATTGGATGATATAAAAGCAGCAGAAAATCAGAAGTTGTAGTTGTCTTGGACAAAATATGTATCTTTTTAGAGAGGTCTAAAAGTTTTTCTTTAATCTTTCTATATGATTTCTGTAGTTTCCTAACAACAGTTAGAAGGGTAGAGGTGCTCTGGAAACTGTGAATGAGCACAGACATCTGAGGAACAGTCATGGGTGGCCTAGAGGACCACGTTTATTAAACTTGTATAATTCCTAGATGTCTTAAATTTACTGAAACATGCCTGCAAACTGAGGGCTAAAGACTGAAATCAGGAACACCACAATTATGCTATTTGCTTATGTAACTCTTTTTTAAGTACCTTGAGCTTAGAACTTCAAAGTTAACCAGAATTTTTTATAGCCAGTATACACCTTCAGAAAAATGAATGTGTTATCTTTCATTACACAAATTTCTATTGCTTTTATTGTCCAAACTAACCATCATTACTAGAAACGATAGTAACTAAATTTCTGGGCATTTTACTGATTCACAGTGGCTTATTTAGCAAGTAATTTCAAGTTTTCCATCCATAAAATATTATGGAAAAATCTTTAAGCATGTTAGTGTTGCATTCACAATCCACACAATTTAAGTGTGTGGTATTCACAATCAACTGTCTGCCTTCCTCTTCAGTAAAGGAAGTCTCTAATAATTGATACAGAGTTCTTTTAAGGCCATGAGGTGTTTTATTTAGTTATATATAATCTTATAGATAGCTGCTAAATCAATGCAGCACATATGAAATAGACTGGATACTAGCCATCTCCTAGGATTCAGAATAATTAACGGGCAGTCATGAGCCAGTGAATCAAATAATATGCAATCAGATAACACGTACTATAAAACAGAATGCAAGATCATAGATTCAAATGTGGTAGACCATTTACAAAAAAAGGAATGTTTCCTGCGCAAATAGTGACCCCAAGAAAACAACTTCATTTTCCTAAAAAAAAAAAAAAAAAAAAGAGTAGCTGTCATGATAAACCATTTATTTTGCATGTGTCTGGATGCGAAAATGGCAACGATGTAAATTTCTCGATCCGTGATGGGGTTGAGGGAGTTGTGTTTGTTCTGTTAACAGCAGGTAACGTCACACGTTGACTCGCGCTCCGGCTCATCCCCTGCTCAGCACCTTCCGCATGGGCAGAGGCCCTGCTCCCTGGTGTGCCCGTGGCAGCCGGGAGGTGCAGGGAAAGGCGGTCGTGAGCTTTT